TTTCGCAATTAATGTGATTATTGTGCGTCGTACGGCAGAAGACGATTTTGAGCTATCCCAAATAGATGGTGCAAAAATAACCCTTTATTTACTGTTCAGTGCGAGGCAGCGATGAAAATGTAATCAAACATCATAAGATCCACTGCAAAGAGCCTAAAAATCATATCGATGTACGACCAATTGCATTCGATGCGGAATTTTGTAACTTGGAACTGATTAGATTTTCAGCAAAATCAGTCCAGCCATTTTTTGCAGAACCAAAAAACTAGCAAAAATGGAAAACGACTTGAATTTTTCAATTTATAAATTATACCATTTTTAAGACAAAATTTCAAAATCTTTTAAAAAATATGAATATTGAATGATTAGGATACTTGTATGAAAATTCGATGACAATATTTCATCGAAAAAAAAAATTTTAAAAATCAAAATCAGAAATGAAAGAATTTTAAACTTATGCCAAGATTAAGAAAACAGCATTAAAGACGCTATAATAGTCAATAATAATTGTCAATAATATGGAATTGTGTTCATAACAATTGAACATTGTTACTAATAAGTGATTATTGATCATAGTAATATTTAAATAGAAAGTTTTAAATTGTTATAAACAATAAAAAAAGGGTTCCATGCTATATATATGAGTACATTTGAAGCATAATTTTTTCTTTTACTGAAAAAATGTTACCTACCGTATGAAATAAATGCAAACATACTTTTTTCGTTTATAACAATAAAATTTGTTATAAATGATGGAAGAAAAGGATCTATGAGGTATATTTGAATTCTTCTAACGCACAATTTCTTCTTTTACTAAAATGAAGTAACTTATTATATCAAATAAATAAAAACACACTAATTTCGCTTATAACAATTCCATTTCTTATGAAGAATGGAAAACAAGATCTATGCAACATATCTGTGTTCTATAAACGTGTAATTTATCGTTTCACTGAAAAAGATTACCAACTGTATGACATAAATGAAAACATGCTTCTTTGTTTATAACAAATAAATTTGTTGTAATCATGAAAAAAGAGATCTATGCGATATAAATAAATTCTTCCGACGCGTAATTTTTTCTTTTACTAAAAAAAACTACCAACCCTATAACATAAGTGGTAACTCACTCTTTTTGTTTATAACAATTGAATCTGTTATCAACAATTGAAAACGGGTCCTCTTCAAGGTGTTTCTTTATTTTAAGTAGGTCGTGTGGACCTTTCGGGTCGCACCCAGACCACTACAGAGCACTGATATTTATCCCTAAATTTCTATATAAAAAAAGTTTCATTAGGATTGATTAATGGCATTGTTCTATGATAAATACACAGTAAAGTTCCGAAATTAGTCCAACTTTTCTATCGTTGGCATTTATATTTATACTAAATACGGGCAGAACCTTTGAATATCGAGGCAAGGGCAACTTCGTATGTTGTGGAGCTAGTTATCTAGCTGTAAATATTTTCTCACGGAGCCTGTAATGTTACTTGAGGTAGAAGTTAGCTTGGCAATTTTATTTTTCAATCCTCAGCTACCTCGACTTCGAAATTCTTGGCTCTTTGGAACTTCGTCGGATGATGATTTCATGGTGATATTCACATAATAAGAATGTGAGTACCGTGCAGCTTTCTGCTCGGATCCCGTCTGATTAACTCATCTATGTATTGATTTGACGTTTTCGATTAACGTTGAAGAGGTGATACCCATTTCATTATATTCATTAATTGAAATTATCAGTTAAAAAAAAGTTGGTCCAGTCTGGTCATAGTTTTGTATTGCTGGTAATTAAGAATTTTCTGGTCAATATGAATTACTCCAAATTGGTGCAGTTACAATAGAGCAGTATACTGTTTCTTGCTGGCATCTTATCATAGAGACAATCTATCGTCTATCTATATCATGAGTACATTGGCTTAAAGTCTAAGTAAACTCGACCACAGACTGATAAGAAACATAACCTGATGTCTCATATGCCTAGAATATACATACATATAGATAGAATTAGAGAAGTTTTATTTCAATCATGTGGTCGAAACAACTCTCGTAGTTCACTTCACAACACACGTTTTGAAAGTAGGCCGACACGATGGCCTAGTAGGTACAGCGTTAGCCTGGCGCACTATAAGTAGCGGGTTCGATTCCCGGCCGGGACGAAATCATTCATATGGTTTTTTCTCTGGCCAGCAAGCGGAAGCACGTGATATTAGTTAGAAAAATGTTCTATATATAGTGAGTTTGTACACTAGGAACAACGGATGATCGCAGTATTTTAAAATTCTGGAATATCACTGTGAGCATTACAGCGGGATTTAAATTGCAAAATCCACGACGTCTTCAAATTCATCCGGTTGTTTGTCTGATCAATTACTTTTAAACCAAGAATGTTTGAATAGATTAATGTATTGAGAAGATGATGATTGATTATTAGTAAGTGACTATCACTTTGTAATGCTATTTTTTTAGTGTAAATTTAAATCATGACCCAGTAATATTATACTACTGAAAAAGTATTTTACAAAGTTCTTCATACTCTGAATCCGAAGATGTCAAGAAACACCAATAAACAGTGAGAACCAACGTTTAGAAAATATCGATGCTCTTCAGCAGTGTGGGTGCAACCCGAAAGGTCCACACGCCTAACTTTTCGTAAAAATAATACAATGATTTAGTTAGTTTACGATTTTGTCAGTTTTTCGATTTTACACAAAAACGGCTGGACCGGTTTTGCTCGAAACTCAGTCAAAATCGTAATTATGCGTCAGATGCAATTGATCCTGCGTCGATACCATTTTAAAAATACTATTGTATTCGATTTGAGATGCACAAGATCAAACCTATTACTATAAATTCCCACAGTAATATTGTAGAATTTCAAAATATTGCGATTATCCGTTGTTCCTAGTATACAAACCCACTATGTATAGAACATTTTTCTAACTAATATCATAAATACGAATCATACAACGATTGGATTAATTATTGCAGTTGTATGTATGATAAATGTATCAAAAAATGAACGGTATTTATCGAATCCTTTAAACAAAAAATTTGGTAAATATTTTTATTATCAATCGTCCTGGCATGTATAATTCTCTAACAATGTCATTTTTCACATAAAAATAGTACACTTCCGTTTTCTGACGGTTTACACATTGACTATATATGTATTTTTTCTAAAATGCTAAAGAACAGATCTGTTATTTTGTTCTCTTCTTTTCATTATATAGTATTTAATACAACTACGAAATATCAGTGCTCTGCAGTGGTCTGGGTGCGACCCGAAAGGTCCACACGACCAACTTCCCAGTGGAAAAAATAAAAAAACGATTTGAATAGAACCCGTTTCTATTTTTTATAACAAATAGAATTGTTATAAACGAAATGAGTCTGTTTTTATTCATTTGATATGGTTAGTTACTTACATACGGTTGGTAACATTTTTTTAGTAAACGAAAAAATTATGCGTTAAAAGTACTCATATATATAGAAAGGGTCCCTATTTTTATTGTTTATAACAATTTAAAACTCATTATTTAAATATTACTATGATCAATAATCACTTGTTAGTAACAATGTTCAATTGTTATGAACACAATTCCATATTATTGACAATTATTATTGACTATTATAGCGTCTTTAATGCTGTTTTCTCAATCCTGACACGAGTTTAAAATTCTTTGATTGCTGATATTGTTTTTTAAATTTTTTTTTTCGATGAAATATTGTCATCATATATCCATACAAGTATTCCAATCATTTAATATTCATATTTCTGCAATGATATTGAAATTTTGTCTAAAAAATGGTATAATTTATAAATTGCGAAATTCAAGTAATTTCCTTTTTTTCCAGTTTTTTGATTCTGCCAAAAAAATGGCTCTACCGATTTTCCTGGAAACTTTTTCAGTTCTAAGTTACGTAATTACACGTCGAATCTAAGTGGTCCCACATTGATATCATTTTTTGTTCTCGAGATAATCGAGGCGAAAAATAATTCCGAACGTACGTACTCACATATGCACATACGCACACACGTACATACACACACACAGACGTCCACGTAAAAACTATCGTATTCAACTCTGGGGACCTTAGAACGTGGAGATATGTCAAAATTAGCGATTCGCAAAATCGGACCTATTACTATAACTTCCCACTGGGAAGTTAAATATGTACTCATCAAGACAAATGCTCTCGAAACTAACGGGACCATCAAACAATAAAGGGTTTTTAAAGGTACCCGATAATTTTAGGTCTATTTTAATTAGAAGTGTAAGCCTTGGTTCACCCGAAAAAGATTGATGGTTGTTAACATTAGCAGAAGCAGAGCTATTTACATGTATCTTGTTGAGTCGTTAGTTAGAATTATATATGCGGTTTAATGGTAAAGGGTAGCCTGTGATAGTTTTTTAGTAAATGTTTCAATACGTAAATTACAACTGTGTTAAAAAATACTCAGAAAATCAATAAATATGTAATTAGTGCTTCAGTGAAATTTTATCCTATTTTAACATCCAATTATTGAATATGAAATTATTAAGATTAATTTTCCGATAAGAAATAGAAGAATTGTAATGTGATAGTACATATACATAATCAATGTGGATGTATTGATACAGGCCTAAACAGAAAATTGACTTAAATTATAGAAAAAGAATTACTAATAACACTTTCTAGATATTAATTAATATTACCTATATCCTATTATAAGAAATTTCTAAATGTAATTTTAACCTTTGGATATTTATTGAATAATTTTGTTCGTATACAATTAATTTCGTTTGGATAGGGTAAAATGAATTCTGATATGAGCTCTAGGGGAAGAACTACTTGAAAATTTACTGTTCAAAACCCTTACGCTTGCAATGATTTTTTTTAAATTTTTTAATCGCACTTGATAAAACTTCAGTGGACATCTCTAAATGAATGATAATCAACTGATTTCGTATGTGCATACCTACATGTATAAACTCATGACTATTCTTAAATTTACTCACTTCAGCAGGAAATGCGTAGTTATCAACTGTGTGTTCACTTCCTCTTTGATCATTAAGACCATAATGTAAGTGAATTTCACAAAACTGATATCGGTAGCTAAGTGGCCCGCCAGATATATTAACAGGATGTTGAGTGCCATTGTCGACTGAAAATACAACTCCATGCCCAGTATTACTTAGAGAACCTCGAATTCCATGCTTATCAATGTGGAGCAGTTGCAGATTACGATCGAAGAGGAGTCGTTCAGGTTCTAAATTAACTGGTGATTGTCGACGACCTTTGTGGCATAGAGACCATTCGGGATTTATTAAACCCCAAAAACCTGGACCTTAAATGAAATAAATTTTCGGTGCATGAACAGACATATGCATAAGTTCTATTATTTTTACTATTCGTACCAGATATTCCATCGTAGGTCCACCACTCTTCCCAGCTTACAGGTTGCGACTCTGAAATATGAAATACATCAGATTACACATGAGTAAATTCTTATTCATCTAGGATAAATAAGCTTGATCGAAAATTTTCCCAGTTTCCAAATTGATGTGTCAAGGAAACCATTCTTCTGAATCATTATATCGAATTGGAAAAATTCAACAAAAAAAATTTCATTTTAAAGATTAGTGTATTCTTCTTATAGATGTAAGAGTGAAGTCATTATAATAATAAGCCGTATCTCATAGTGCGTTAATTAGAGGTATAGAGGTAAAATTACTTTAGATGTAGATTTTTGTACGTCTCAATAAGAAAGTATTTGTGTGTATTTTTACTACTCGGAAACAATAACTACTACTGTTGACTTTCCTGTGGGAATTTATAGTAATAGGTTTGATCTTGTGCATCTCGAATCGAATACAATAGTATTTTTAAAATGGTATCGACGCAGGATCAATTGCATCTGACGCATAATTACGATTTTGACTGAGTTTCGAGCAAAACCGGTCCAGCCGTTTTTGTGTAAAATCGAAAAACTGACAAAATCGTAAACTAACTAAATCATTGTATTATTTTCACGAAAAGTTAGGCGTGTGGACCTTTCGGGTTGCACCCACACTGCTGAAGAGCATCGATATTTTCTAAACGTTGGTTCTCACTGTTTATTGGTGTTTCTTGACATCTTCGGATTCAGAGTATGAAGAACTTTGTAAAATACTTTTTCAGTAGTATAATATTACTGGGTCATGATTTAAATTTACACTAAAAAAATAGCATTACAAAGTGATAGTCACTTACTAATAATCAATCATCATCTTCTCAATACATTAATCTATTCAAACATTCTTGGTTTAAAAGTAATTGATCAGACAAACAACCGGATGAATTTGAAGACGTCGTGGATTTTGCAATTTAAATCCCGCTGTAATGCTCACAGTGATATTCCAGAATTTTAAAATACTGCGATCATCCGTTGTTCCTAGTGTACAAACTCACTATATATAGAACATTTTTCTAACTAATATCATAAATACGAATCATACAACGATTGGATTAATTATTGCAGTTGTATGTATGATAAATGTATCAAAAAATGAACGGTATTTATCGAATTCTTTAAACAAAAAATTTGGTAAATATTTTTATTATCAATCGTCCTCGCATGTATAATTCTCTAACAATGTCATTTTTTACATATAAATAGTACACTTCCGTTTCCTGACGGTTTACGCATTGACTGTATATGTATTTTTTCTAAAATGCTAAAGAACAGATTTGTTATTTTTTTATCTTCTTTTAATAATAATGGGTCTTTTCATAAAATTAGTTATAGATTTTTCATCTTCTTCAAACATGGTGAATAGTAATTAATTCAGGATTGATACGTCAGGGAACCTTTTTTGTGAGAGTTAACATTTTCACTACTGTCAGTACAAATCGCAGCAAAAGAGCGATCATTTTAGGACTTGTTAAATTTTAAGTTAAAATTAGTGTTTGTTTTCAAGGCTCGTTTATAGTAGTCTATAGTCAATGATTGTAACAAATACAGTTTTGTCGCGAGTAAGCACCGTATTCGAGCTAGTGCTCTACCACGAACCTCTTCAAAATTACTTGACTCTTAATGCTCTGTTACATTTATTTATAATATTATCAATTTTTATCAAAGAAAATTTTCTATGATTAAAAACGATCACCGATTAGCGAACAGAAATAAATAAGAAAGATTTATAATAAAAAAAACTGAAGCTCCAAGTGCCCGCCCGAGTAAAAATATTTTATTTTTATTCATACGGCTAAACAACGGCAAAACAAGAACCGTGATTCAACTAAATTTTACGGGCAAATAGAGGCTGAATGAGGTCGGTTTGTCGGACAAATACGGCTTTGCACACTTTTCATACGGCTATATGACAGCCGTACAACGGCTGTACGATAAGACATTGGAGACTAAATCTCGGCAGTACCGTGGCTGTTTGCAGAATGTATACGGCTATACGACGGGCGAACAACGGTTTTATTAACTAAATAAAATCTATATATATATATATGTGGGAGGATATAAGGGTTCCACACATTGCCGTAACAATACTAATTGACTAAACCTTATTTCTTAGTTGAATTCAAATTAAATATAAAATAACGACATTATAAAATATATATATTTATTCATAACAAAATACATTCATAAAAAAAAACTCAGAAATATTTGTTGTTTAGCCCTAAAGTGGTTGAAGGTTGGTGTCTGGCTGTGTAACATTGTTAATGGGATGTTGCTGGAAATTATTGTCATAGGTATATAAGACGGCGGAAACTGTTGATAAGCATACGACGCAGGTGAACAATTAGAAGACCATGCAGAATTTTATTGTAGGTAGGGTATTGATTGGTGCTGAGATTGTTGGTGATAATCAATCGGCGGATAATGAGGGGGTGGTTGATAATAAAATTGTTGTGGGTAATATGGGTATTGACTAAATTGATCTTGGCGATTTTGATGTAAGTTTTGAGGTTGCTGTGGCTGCTGTTGTGCCATTTCTTGGCTATGTATGTTTTGTTGAAAATTTTTTGATAGTTCTGGCTACTGTTGATTAATTCTCTGGAGATTATGGTCCTCATTTTCTTGTTAGGATTTCTTCGAAGGTTCTTGTTGTTCATGTGCTTCGTTCAGGTTGATATAATTTTTCACTTTGTGTTCTAGTTGTTTTAATGTCTCTGACTGGTTTGGAATTATTTTTTGGTGGAAGTATTGGTTATGTCCTTGTTGATGTTCCTTTGATAGTTTTTCTACTTTTTCTAGTTGAATAACATCTTCTCCTTCCTCAGATTTATCAACTTTTTCTTCTTCTGGGAGATCAATTTCTTGGCCTTAAAAAGAAATCATCATTATTATCAAGTATTTATTAAAATTTAAAATTAAATTTAGAATTATATTTTTTATTAACTCAAAGTTTCTTACCCTTAACTTTCTTCACTTGATCATTTTCTTCTCTTTTTCAGTTTTCTTGCACTCTTTTACAAATCAATTCATTAATTTCAATTTTCTCCTCTATGGACTTCATCTCATTTCTGCAATAATATATTTTTTTCGTGACAATTTCATTAAATTCTGGTTCTGTCACCTCTATGTTGCGCTCGTGTTTTAAATATCGAAATCACCAAATTACCTAGAACTGCAGTTTTATATTCTTGTTTTTTTTTTATTAATGCCTTACGCTGTTTCACATTCCACTAATTCTCGGGGCGTAAGAATTTTCATGAGTTATAATCTGAATAGTCCAGGAATATTACAATTGGCCTTTGCAATGCAATTATCTATGTCTTCTTAAGTTAGGAGAATGTTTGTATTGGAATATAATTCATTCTGGAACAAATAGAAACATTTCATTGATTCTTAAAAAACAATTATCATTACAGATATAAAGATTACTTGATTTTTATGACACTTATTACCTTATCTTTCTTCATACCGTATTCAGGATCTTTTAACAATAACTTTTTTATCGATTGAACCATTTTTCCGAATACAGTTATAATTTGTGGTGTAGCTGAGAACAATACGAGAAAAATTTTAATTAAAAATTGAATTTAATTGTTTCTGAGTTTTCGATGTTTTTCCAATTTCTGTTATATTTACTAAAGACTACTGTACTTTGCCCTTTTGATTGTTTTTCAATTTTGTTGATTCTTTTTTAAGTTTCGTGATCGAATTTTTTTCCTTTATTATGTGTTCTGGCTGAGTTTCTTTTATTATTCTCGCGAAACAATCAGTATCGATTGATAAAAAGTAACTCCGATGATCTGCAAAAAAAAATAATTTTTTACAGAAATAATTGAAGATAATGAACGACGAAATTTATTTATTAGTTGAATGCTGAATAAAGAAAACTATTCCGGAAAATAATAATGAAAAAAATAGGTTTTTCCCGTCAACAGTACAATGGTCGTTTTTAATGAAAGCATATTTAGATCTCTTACACTTACACGAATTTAGGTAGAGTTCGGAAATGTACGTATGCCTCCATATAGTGTTGTTATTACCACAGCTGAAAGCAATAAAATTTAATCCGGACAAAAGATTGCTGAAGGACACTGAGGCGCCGAAATCATGTATATACTGGTACTTTAAAATTCCCGTCAAATAATCAAAATTTTTTATGTGAAATTGACAATCATTTCCCTTTAAGATTTATTTCGCGAGTATGAATTCCATTAAATGTTAGTGATGATAACACGTGACAATTATTTACAGGGAAAAGAATATACATTGGTAAGCAATATTATTCAATCGTTTTTTTTCTAATTAACCTATTGGAGAATCTATTTATATCATTTAATACTTTGAAGTATTGTTCATCCACATAATTCTTACTTTTCCATAATATATATACGTAAAGACTTACGTGATATCTTTTTAATTGTAGCCTTGTACAGTGTTGTAACACCGTTCTCATCCACCCACGGAAAATCCCCTGTCCAGCCGATTTTAATAAACTCTGGCTTTACTGCTTCTGTTACGTCTTTCACACTTATTACAAGACTTTCAATAGTTTGTGACAAAAAAATAAATGCCCACAACTCTATATTTTTCAAAGATCGACGCATTACACTTTATCAATCACAACGAAATATTTATATCAAACATAGAATAGCACTAAACACTTTAACAGGACAAGTACCTGCTAGCAACTAACCGCTCTTCATGAGAAACAGATTGACCTGAGTACAAGTGTCATAAAACAACCCAAAATCGTTTTCGTTCTATTTTAGTTGGAAATAAAAAATTTCAAAAATGCGATCTAAGTTATCTTTTCAAGAGTAAGTAATTATTTAAGGTGTACATGGTCTGTTTAGAGTTGCGATAGTTGGCATACCCAGAACTGACCATTAGTACGGATACATTATTAGACCCATGCTGCACGAGTTCCAATTCAACATAGTTTCATTGTAGTTGCTACAAAAATCGAAATAAGTGATAAAAATTTTATTAAATATACCAATAATAACAAATATATCG